AAATTCTCAAAAAATTACTACATTCAATTTTGTGGAGCTGTAAGAGTAAAGAGCAAGACTTAAGAGGCTACGCATTTCCAATACTGGGGACAAAAACAAAGCAAAATCGAATGTCTACAAGAGTCAACAGATCCCTCATGCTGTCTGAAAGAGTTGCTGTCAACTTGTTCCTGTACCCACTATGCGACTTAATACTGAGATTCACAAAAGTCAGTCACTGAAAAATCAGAGAAATGTCTCGGAAATATTCTATACACTTAAAAATAAAGATATCATATCCACCACTTTACCACAGTTGTTTAAATTAGTGGCTTTTGGGTTCCATAAGACATGTTCAGAGAGGCTAAGAATAAAAGGCACGATCAAGGAGGTTTGCTTAGTACCTGTTAGCACCAGGTCTTGTTCCAAACAAAACAAGCTTAAGACGCTGGAGCCCAAGGCAAAGAAACACACAAACAGTACAAACAATACACTCCAAAAACATAATCATGTCATCAAAAAGCTTTGAAACACTGGTTTTAAAAAATTATCTTCAAATTAATCAGAACTGAAACCAATATATTAGAAACAGAAGAACAAGCACAACATACGGATGCATTATCGTCACTCTAAAATTAATTAGCCTTTTTTTTTTAGTAACATCATCAGTATATCACTGCAGAAAATGTTGCTTTGCAAACAGAGGACACTGATCTCACCTGATTTCATTTTCATACTGTGGGGACAGTCTACCTGAATTCTGGTAAAAGCTTTTCAGGAAAGAGGGGGCAGTGAAGGAAGGGGCAGAGAAGGAAGTGTGAAGACTTGGAAGACTGGAGGAAGAATTACTCTCCTTGTGCATGCGCCGAACTGAAGGAACAGTGCTGAGTACAGAAAATACAGCAAATTTGTCTTAATTTATATTTTGGCAGCATCTTCACTCACTATGAAATAGCATATACACAGGTTCTTGCTATTCATGTCATCAGGGCTGGATTTATATGGAAAAAAAATTTATATGCATGCAGTTCTCTATTAGACAACTAAGACTTGGTTCATTTTTAACACAAATGGAATTCTTCATCAATGCAGTGTTTCTAAGCATGTGTGTTTGTCTCTAAAAAGCACTTAACAATTCTAGGACAAAAAGTGTTTGCTTTTACATGCAAAAGATACTTCAAGGGGGAAAAGTAGGAAAGCACAAATAATCACAGGAAACAAGTTCCAGGAGGAAAAATTGATTGTCAGTAGTTCAAAGACTTCATAACTTTCAAGATATAAACCCTTCTAAAAATTTAAGAACAACAAGCTTGGTTGTTGGAAGTCATCGTAATACCTTTGGCTTAACAGATGTTAATGTCCGTGTTCTTTCCCGCAGCCTATAAAATTGTGCAGCCATAGTTTTAACTGAATCCCTAAATCTCCTACAAAGATTTTTTTTTCCAGAAGATTCTTTTCATAGTAAATTTTTACCATGATATAAATAGCATCTTTTCATACTGACAAAAATTCTTTGAGATATACGTTACAAAATGTGGAAAACAAAGGAAAAAAATAGAAGCACCATTTATAGTTTAAAATAATTAATGTTTTAAGTTCTTGAAAATAATTTTTCCTTGAAAAAAAGGAACTTAATGCCTTGGGTAAATATAAATGATCATTAAAAACCTTGATATATACATGGGTAATTAATCCTTTTTCATAAAAAAATTGAGGATAATTGGTTCTATTAATTTACTTTATTTTTATATATCCTAAATATCTTATTTTTTAATATCAAACCACTCAAAAAAACAATAAGGATTCAACTGTATCCTTAAAAGAAATGCTGGGAAATCTGGCAACAACTAATATAAAAATCAAACTTCTTTGTACTTAGAGTACTTGTTTTTTTTTTCTTCCCTCCTCTGACCAGGATTCCTAGCAGACTATTTCCTGTACCAAACTCATAGGTAAAGAAGAGAAACAAAACTAGCTCTAGGATATAAATTCCGATTTATGTTACACAGGAAGATGGATAATCATTTCTACAATTCCAAATTTACCCCTTTATTATCTCTTACCAAAGGCCAAATAAACTTGTTAAATTATTTTTAAAATACCATATAAGCTAGCGTCTAATGGACACTTCCTGTCAATTATGGTATATGTATTCTTCTTTATAGATACCACTTTATTTTAGATAAAATTTTTAGCAATTTTCATATTTGGCTTTAATTTATTATGAAGTAAAATACAGCCAAATTGTATGTCATGTAGAAGGGCAAGTCACGTGATTTTTTCAACCCTTGTGTGTCACTGAAGGCTAACAGGAAGTTCTACTATGTTAGTTTCAAATTTTTAAACTGTTTCATCAAAGCCATCCAGGCCACATTGAGTAACATGCACTGTTGGCAGGTTTTTCAGACAAAACAACTGCCTGATACTTTGTTTTCTCCATTTTTCCAGAAAAAAAAAGTTTCCATCCAAAATGCATTAACTCTTCTCTTTGGGTGGGCCTTAAAAAGCTTTCCTGTTTCCCTTAGTGAACGAAGGTGCTTATCATTCAATTTATTTGTATGGTCTTTTTGAAAACTAAAGGTTGGCTACAGCATGAAGTCATGATAAACCTTGCCTCCACAGTGGTCAGAACAGAGTGACAGGAGAAGTCTGCCCCGCAGTCTGGAGAGAGGTCTGGACTCACCTGCACTGCTCGCTGGAGCTCTGTCTCAGAAGAGGGGAGCGGACCCCGTGAGCCTTCCCATCCTGCAGGTTCAGCTTTCTCTTTGTGCTTGAAGGTGGGTGGCTGAATGTGTGCGCCCGTCTTCGAAACTGCGGGGAGTCGGAGTCCACTTCAGGGAACGTGTGCCAAGCTGAAGACAGTGGGGAAGCCGGTGGGGTCCCCGGCGGAGAGTCTCCTGGTGAGTAGTCCTGAAACGCAAGAAGGGGGGCCTTTCTCTCCTACATGGACCATGGCAGACCTGCTCAAACACAGTGCTCAGAAGTGACAGGGTGCCTCTTCTTCCTGAGTCATGACAAACTGTCTTGGGGTTTTTAAAATTTTTACTCAATCCGTGCTGAAGGCTAATGAGTATCACCACAACCCATTTCTTCTGATAAGCAGCTGTAAGACAGCATCCGTAAAGACAGGCCAGAAAGTGAAAGGGACGATAAGAAAAGGTATTCCTTCCCCTAACCCGCTGCGGTAAAATGCTACAGAGCTACTGTACTTGTCTCACTGTTGCCAGAAAGATGAAAAGAGATCACGACCAAAGGTGGGTGGAGTCTGTAGTTACATATCTCCTGATTTCCGTGACATATCGCTTGCATGTTTCCTGTACTGTCAAAACAATATCACAGCGCTCCAGTGTCCAAGGCTCAAGGCAAAGACTTCAGGAAAATAAAATAAAGCCTGTTAAGTGTCTGCCTTCACCGTGGATGTTTCTATCTAACTCCGTGTTCCCTGAGGTAAAAAAATTTTAACAGACATGAAAAACAGGAAATGAATGAAAAGTGAGCTATGCTGGAATGCCTCTCCTACTGCATGGGTAGGCATCATAAATCTTTCAATTTGGACAAGTATGCTGTTTATACTTTCCAGGACGGGCTTCACTGTAGAAAATGTTTAGCTTGATAAACACAGGGGAGGGCTGATGGCCTCAAAACTGGACGAAGTCCTCAATTCTACCAATAGAAAGTTTAGGGAAAATATTTGAATATTTTTCCATTAAAAACAAATAGGTTGCATTTGCCTCGGGTTACATGTTACAGGAAACAGGAAACCAAGCCTGCTGAGAATTGTCTATGAGATAAAGAAGAGACTAATATTGCAGTTAAAAGGGTTAAAAATGGTGGGGGTGGGGGTGGCAGGCAGGGGGAGGAGTAAGAGGAGGAAAGAACAAAAGGTAAAAAGATTGCTGTACAAGTGCAGTAATTACATGGCTCATTTTTCTATGACTTTGGATCAACAGTTGCTCAAATACTGTCCTCCAAAGTACACTCTCTACAAACAGTAAAAGGCCCGATGGAGCAGTTAGCCAGCAAGGGAGGTGTTCTGTCCCACCGAGAGAAAGCTTCAGTTCAATGAAGAGCAACACGCTAATATCTAGAATTTTCTTTAAAATAATAAAGCCTCAAATATTTATTTTTTTCAAAGTCATAAAGGACTCATAACAAAATAACGAAGCACACCTGTTATCATCTTAGTGTTGGTTTTTGCCAAGTTGCAATTAGCAGTAAAAAAGGGAGCTGTGCTTAGTTACCTTCTCTGAAGCAAGACTGTTAGACCGTTCAAAGCTGTCCACACTTCCAAGCCGACCTCTCATTCTGTTCGCTCCCTGAGGGAAGAAAATAAAATTAAATCATTCATCCAGCTTGAAGTTTTACTTTCACACTATAAAATGCAGTTGCCTCTTTAGGTTAGCATTAAATCCACCCTCTTGGGGTTCATTCAGATTTCAAATTTATTGACAGCATTAACATGCCAGCACAGCAAACAGAACTATTCACACTCTATTCCGTTATTTCTAAACCAGCCGTTTGGTAACCAGATATTCAGACCAAGTTTTTTGAAGTGATTTATATTTCAAGGTTAAACATTATTCACCCGTAAGATCAGTGAGAGCCCCACGAACTTGATGTCGCCTACAGATAAACACAAACGTGGAAGGGGACAGCACAATGAAGCACAGCAGTTATAATGAAAATGGTTTAATCGACACAACCCCCCTACAGCCAAGATCACAACCGAGACCATAATTTATATGATAGGATCATATGAAATGCAGGTTAAAAAAAGAAAACTATATCCTAGAATGTATGGATTTAGCTGCATTCATTATTCCATAATGTAAAATTACTTCAATAAAGCACTTTTCTCCAGAAGACTAGATATCAGTCTGCTTCAATATTAGGAATTGGTTCTTAGTTTTCTTTTCACACAGTCCTTCGACATGGATTCCACAGATGATCTAAGAAAGAAACCAAGGAGATCATCTCAATCAGTTTCCTTCACTATAGGAAGAAACTGAAGTCAAGTGTTGAAGGAAAGCGTATGGAAAGGCAAGTTGGGGACCACATCACTTAGAAGGTCTTAAGAGACTAAATACAGACTAAGACGTTCTACACAGCTCTTAAAGACATGGGAGAGACCTAAAAAGAATAACTAGAAATACAAGTCATGTCAGTGTGACAGTGACACTACACAATGAAAAACATACAGTATTTGTGTAGCCCTGTGAGGTTTTAAAGTGTCTCCTCAAACATCCTTGGGTTTAATTTTGGCAAAGGGGGAAAGAGGTTAAGTTTCATCTTCTTTTTTTTTAAATCAACTTCATTTTTAGTCAAAGTAATACCTACACAAAGTTTCAGAAGTCAAATTGTGCTACCAAGCTTATAATGATAAGTGGTACTCACCAGCCCCCTCTCTCACACACGGAATCCCATTTCCCAAAAGCAAACACTTGAAACTATGTCAATGCTTCTGCTACTCGGCTTGCATTACTATTCCTTAATCTTTCCATATTAGGCATTATCTATTGACTTTACTCTGGATGACGACACTTTAGGATTCTTATTTCATTACCTACCCCCATACACACTTCTCTCCTCCCTCTTTTCTCAGCACAGTTATATCACAAGTTTCAGTTAAATCAATATTTTATGCTTAGATTTTTATGACCTTATAAATGCTGTTTGCACCTGAGCTACATTTTACAATTAATACAACTCACATCTGGTACAGTTTGTTTTTCATGAAGTTAACGGCTGTCCCAGCAATCACTAATTTGTTACAACTAATTTACTTATTTATCACCAATTTATTGCCAATAAATTTCAATATGATCAAACATCACATAATCCATCAATTACATTTCTTTCTTTTTGCTCTGAGCTGCCCATTTGGCAGACCTCTCTCTTCCTGTCCCAGTCTGGACTGGCAGCAATTTAGGCTTGCTAAACAGATGTTTCCAGTATTTTCCTTCACTATCGACCAATAAATTTTCTTTGATGCTATTTTATATTGGAATTTCTGTTTCCTTGAGGTCATGTCTTCCTCTTTTTTAGTGTACTTCCTTACTTTGGTGTAACATATGCTCCAGGTGTTTTCTGAGAAAGGAAGACTGGGAAGTAAGGTTTTTTTTTTAATTTACATTTCTGTCAATGTAATTGTTCCATCGCTTATATTTCATTAATAGTTTGGCTGAATATACAATTCTGGCTGGAAACTTTCCTTCAGAATACATTAGCATTGCTCAAGTGTCTTCTGGTTCAGAAGTCTAGTGTCATTGTGATCCTTGAACTGTACGTGTGACCTGATGTTTCTCTCTGGGGCAGAATCTAAGTGTACCCTTGGGTGCTCTGAAATTTCACAACCAAGTGCCTTGGCATGGCTTTCCTCAGTTCTCCTATTGAGCCCATTAAGTCTTGAAACCTGTCCTATCAGCTCTGAGAAACTTTGTAAATGATTTCTTTGAAAATTTCTGCATGCATTTTCTTTCTAGAACTCCTACCATTTGGCTTTTGGATCTCCAGACAGATCCTTTAACTTTTTACCTCATTCTCCTATTTTCCATTTCTTTGTCATTTTGCTTTACTTTCTGGAAGATTTTTTTCAACTCCAGTTTCCTAGCCTTTCTTCTTATGTCCACTATCAGAAAGTGTTAAGAGTTCTTTCCTGTCCTCATTTGGCTCTGTTATATTTATGCCATCCTATCTCATTACACAGAAGCAATATTTATTCTTATCTATGTGTATCAATTACAGTTTTCTATCTTTGGTTGCTCCCTAAATAACAACTATATCAATAATAAAATGAATAGCTGCATCTAACATTCCTGAATGCTTGCCACTGACAGAGACTACGTTGAGTATTTTACAGCGCATAACCTCATTTAATCCCCACAACAACGCTAATGAAGTAGGGGTCGTTATTTAGCTCAACTTTACAGAGAAGGAGACTGAAGCTCTGATAGATGAGGTTGCCAACGTTTATACAGTTTAAGGGCAGAGCAGCCATTTGAATTCAGGGAGCACAACTTTCAACTGAAGCTCTTGAGCTCTTACTCAGTACTCTCTCCTGAAGACAGAGCTCTCTGAAAAGTGGAATTACAAATAAAGCCAATTAGCCTACGATGGTTAAGTGTTATTTTGCAAATGCCCTAGAACTTGATGAAGGCTCTTTCAAGATCTTCAGCTCTACACTAAAACATGACCTACTTCCAACAATAAACCATACACATGGCTGATAAATTATTGGGTGAGTATGTGTGGACAAGAAAAAAAGGCCACGTTGCTTCCTGCTATTTTTTAACTGCTATTGACATGCCACCCTCACTGGTTATCTCAAACAGGTTATTTGGTCACAATAGAGAAAGTAGCTGGATGGGTATCAAACCATTTCCATCGTTAGAAAAGCAACATAAATCACACATTTTACTCATAGGCGTATTTTATCCATGAGTGTTTCTTACACACAAAGAAAAACAAACTTACTTTAAAATTATACTCTACCACAGTCATTAATTCACACATTTCAACAAGTGAGGACAATGGATATTATTCTGAAAAATATGTGAAATATGTGAAATGAGGACTGTTTCCCAATGATTCATCCTTTGTATTAGTAAATATTTCTCTTTTAGAAATATATACATATATTAATAAATATATTAGTAAATCATTCTCTTTTAGAAATGTATAAATATATTAATAAATATATTAGTAAATATTTCTCTTTTGGAAAACTTTAAGAAAAACAACAACCAACCAGAACACAAAACTCTTTCTTCCCGTCTTTGAACAGAGTTTTTTCTATATTTTTTGCTATATTATGATTTGGTAACGCATGTGTTGAGCCTTTTCCCTTGGACCCACTTTTTAATTGTTATTGAGCTGAGCTTTAAAGCATTTTAGAGATGTATCCTATTACATAAACAACTATAGTTACTTAAATAAAATATTTTGACATTTAAAAATAGCAGCAATTATAGCACCAAACTCTATGGCTGGAGTGTCAATTTTCTACTCTATCACTCAGGAAAAAAAAAAAACCTGGCAAGTTTTAGAAGGACACAAAACCCCTTTCCTATGTAACCTTTGATACAACATGGATAGCTGCCGACCTTCCCAACAAGTCCATTCTGCTGCATATGACGCAAGCAAGACCTGGTTAGGTCACATAATTTATGACCCTTGGCAGCACCCTGGGACACAAAAGCTACAGTATCCACCTTGACCAAAATAGATTGGCTGCAGCCTTGCTGAAAAGTCATCACAGCCATTCAAGGCTAATGTGAGCAGTACTTCAAAGCCGTGCAAGCACTGCACGATGCCAAGGTACTAAGTGGGGACAAAGAGCGAACGACTCTGGAAGAACCCCTGTGTTCTTTTGTAAATGACAGAGCTTTCAGAGCTTACGGCTCTTATCGCCGTACATACCACCTCCTATCTACAGTGTGAAAGCTTCCTAACCTCCAGATATTTCATCTGCGCAGTAATGTGACGTAAGCAGGTATGAGGATGCCCGTTTCACAAAGGGGTAAATTGTGGCTTTAAAAAGGCAAATAATTTGTCCAAGATCATAAGTATAAAACCTGCTAGGGCCAGGTCTTGAATTCAGATCCCCTGACCACCTACTTAAATAATCCCTCTACTCAAATTCTCATTAAACACAATGAGATAGACAGAGAAAAGGAGGGAGAGAGGGAATAAGGGAGAAAGAATGAACATAACTAAGCTATAAATTTTGAAGAAAAAGAGTCAGGGAATTTTTATGAAAAGTTGCATTAACACACTTCTGAGAATATTAAAACAAATATATGTATGTATATGCATGACTGGGACATTGTGCTGTACACCAGAAACTGACACATTGTAATTGACTGTACTTCAATTAAAAAAACACACACACACACACACTTCTGACAGATCTTCCAAATGCTCTTTTCCTAGATTCTATTTTTAAGAAAATAGTAGCACTGTCATATGACCATGCTTGCTGTAAGGCATTTGTTAGAATTAGAAGAATCTCAGTCACTAACAGAAATACCCATAAAAGTATTTTGAGTTACTACTTTATATAAAATAGATATACTGTCCTATTGTACAGCACAAGAAACTATACTCAGTATCTTGTAATAACTTATAATGAAAAAGATGAAAAGGAATAAATATATTTGTACAACTGACTCACTGTACACCAGAAACTAACACAACACTGTCAATCAACTATACTATAATAATTTCTTCTAGCACAGAAATAAAAATAAGAACACCAGACATCAGAAGTTACTACTGCCCAATGCACTACTACATTTGACTTTGTAATTAATAAGTATTAATTATATCCAGTCAATTTCCTGATCATGATCAAATTTTCAATGTATTAATTTATTTTTCATACCCAAATAGACTCATAGTTTCCTATTTTACGCAACAGGTTACAATCTATTGCTGTCATTTATTTTGATGCTCATCTTGTTTCAGATGGCACCCGTGGGAGCCCTTCAAGGTTTTTATGGCTTTATGACATGTTGCCATCTCTCTTTGAGCACTTCCTATTTAGAACACCAAGGTGCTCTGGACTTAACTTGTACTTTCCCTCTAGTCCTAAAACTAGCCATTTCTCCAAGAATCCTGGTTCCTTCTTGGAGAATGTATGTAGAAACCAAAATCTGAGTGCTAGTCACAAAATATGGGTCACCCAACCAGGCTTAGTTTATTATTTGATACACATAGAAAAGCTATCCCAGTTTCTATCAGTGGACCCAGTCAGGGAACATATGTATGTATTTACACACACAAAAGTATATCAATACATATATATACATGTATGTGTAACATTATATACCTAATTCTATTGCTTGAAAAAAATATATAATAAAACCAAGATTCCATGCTGCTATCTCTGAGCTGAATCCAACAACACAGAATGCATTCTAATTTCCTCTCTTTCCATATTTGAAATTTCCTTCTCCCAAAATCCCACTATCCTAAAACATTTACATATTCAATCACTTCCCTGTGTGTAACCCATCTCCAGGATTGCCACCTTCCACTCTCCTCACCTGACTCGGACTCCAACACCCACACCCATGGGTGCCATCCTCACCCTGCTCAGACTCGAACTCCTTGTACTGGGCACCCTGAATGCTTTCTCCCCTCTACCCCGACTCTGACACCCTGCACCGGGCCCATCCCTCTGCAGGATGCCCTTTTCACTCACTCACGCTCCACTTCCAGAAACCAGGCTGCCCCCAGAGGCTGACACCCTGCTTACTGCACTCTGGTTTCTACACACTGCACTGGGCCAACCATACTTGCAGCACCCATATGGGATGTCTCCCTGCACTAAGCTACCATGGCTCCCTTGCCTTACAGACCCAAGACATCTACCTTACTGTGTCTTGTCTAACAACAGCTTTAGAAGTGAACTGGACAGGAAGAGGAAAATGAAGAGTTTGCTTACTTTTAAACAGAACACATAAATTCACTAAATGGAATATACACATTTCTGTTAACATATACTTACTATTTTCAGCACTCCCTATCAGCTCCTAAGAACAAGCAAAAGAAGGGCTTCTTTATAACTTTACGGGGCAAATGATAAAACGTTCTTACAGGATTGGGCATCAATATTGTTTCCCCTTTTCTATACAAATATCTCAACTATTAAATCTTTACTGCTCAAATTCAGGTATCAGAGGCACCAGAATAAATCTAGATCTGAGGATGAAGCTTATTTTCAGAGATTATTTTAAGTAAGTGTTAACTAACTTATTATAACTAACTAGTCATCTTAGTAGATTTTTTAAAGGAAATCTGGGATCCAGTTGAGAATGAAGCAAAATAGTAAAAAGACATAGACAAAAATACCTTAAAGAGCCTCAGTTTAATCTTACCCTTGAGAAGATATTTTCCAGGGAGCTAGTTAAGGATCTCTTAGCTTTATTTTTCAGAATGTCAAGTTTGAACCTTCCACTGCTTGTTGTATTTTCCGGGATTGTACTATTTGAAATAGTCTATAGAAAGAAAAACATAAATTTTAGTTTGGAAATACTCAAGGTTAAATGAGCCTTTAAAGACAGGCTTATGACTAAGCCATTAAAAAGCACAAGAACTCTTCTATAGCACTATTAAGAAGCAATAATTTAGGTTCCACATTGTGAACACACCGATTATAAGGAAAAGAGTTTAATTTTTAATATTATAAGTAATAAAAAAGACAGAGAAGAGCCTTTCCTTTCTGCTAATACATTCCTGCTACATTTAACAAAAATTAAACTTGAGATGTCAATTTTCACTGCTGTTATTTTGATTAACAATTATAACTAGCCCTTTCCAAGTTGCATATTTTACCCAAATTACCAAGAAAAACACAAGAAATAGGTTTCAAATAATAAAGTAGCTTTTGGATTCTGCTAATGCCTTTGTTACAATTCCAGTTTCACTTGTGAGTGGTTCATTTATCTTTTCAATCAACAAGTATTCCCTGAGAGTACTAAACTGTATGAGACCCGACAATGTGTGTACTGCATTAGGTTCTCTAAATATTTTATCCTGTATAGAGATAAAAAGCCACTGTGTATATGACATGGTTCTTAGTGCCAGAAAACTTCCAGAAGAGACCTTACCTTTTGCCTGGGGAGGAAACATATTCACATGTAGCAGTGACGCAAAGCAGCACATTAAGTATCAAAGATGGAACCATGTTTTTGTGGTTCTCTACGGTCAGGAAGAAAAGGATATACAGGATTCAGGCAGAAGAAAGGGGGTGAAGACTTTCCCAACACTGAGGAAAATTATAAAGACTGGAATGCTCACAGGACAGGGTGTCAGTGCAGGCATTTGACTAAAATAGAGGGAAGTAGTAGAAGGTAACCTGGGAAAGTGAAGCTGGAGATGAAACCTTGAATGGTCTTAAGTGCTGGGTAATTAGTAAGAACCACTGATCAGAATTGACAAGCAGAGGGGCATTACTGTGAAATTCATATTTGGAGAAGATTTATCTGAAAGGAATGTTCAAAAATCACCTGAAGGACTGGGAAATCAGAGACTGGAAGGCCAGACTGGAGGCTCTGGGACAGTCTACATAGGAGGCAATAAAGGTCTGTCCTTGAGCTGGCCCCATGGGATCATCTAAGGAGTTATGACGCCCATCAAAAAGGAAACAAAAGAATGGGTAGGGATGTAAGCTGGCCTGAGTTCAGGATGTGTATAAGGACTGGAGTGACTCATTATTCTAAGGCTTCAGGCTGAATGATGTGACTGAAAGAGGGAAACTGCACTGGCACTTAGCAGTTGACACAGCTGCCCAGTAAATACCGGGGGAATAATCAGAAGGAAGAAAGGAAAAGAGAAAGGGAAGGAAGAAGAGAGGGACAGGGAGGAAGTTAAGTACACTGGCAGGAAAGCAAACACAATTTGTTAAAATCTCCTCCTCTACAATCCTGAGTGACCTCCATAATATAGAAAATGCATATCACTACTCACATACCTCCTTTGGCCTTCTGGGCAACATCGCTACCATCATCAATGACTGATACAAGCAAACCCACTTGACAGATCTTAGTCTTTATGTTTCTGGACCTTCCAATGTCACTGAACATTGTTGATCTTCTTTGAACTTTTCTCCTAACTTGGTCATCCACCATAAGAAGTCTTCCTACCTCATGATTCCCTTTCTGACTTTATCACTGGCTCTGTTTTAATTCACTCATTGCCTGAATTGTAGGTATTCCTCAGAATATCCCCCTCTGACTTCAAATCTGTGCCAAAGCTCATTGTCTTCCATATTTATGAGGTCAGGTCAAATTTTTCTATGAGCACCAAATTCATTTTTCTAATTAAATCTCACACACACTTCAAAAACTGAACTCATTTCTTATTTCCATCCCATGTCCCACTTTTGCCTTCTTTCTGTATTTCCTAGCTATTTCATCCTGTTTCCCCAAGTCTGAAACCTTGAAGTCTCTCCCAGCAAGTCCCTCTCCCTTCCTTTACGTACCTATCCTGTCAGTCACTGAGTCCTAAGCATCATGCCTCCCAAATGGCTCCTGACTCAGTCCCTTGCTCACATCTCCAGGGCTCCAGTTCAGCCTCTCTCTGAGCAAAATAAATTTTTCAGGGCAGAATCATTGAATCTATTTATGTACCAATACTATCTCTGTCTGGTACGTATTTATATCATTCTACCAATCACATCATATTTCCATATTTTAATTTATTTGATTACATGTTGGTTTCTCCTTCTAAACAGTTAGATGGCAGAAAAACACTGTTATCATTCATCACCATGCCTAGTACATAGTATGCACTTGATAAATGAATCACTTTTCAAATTTTCTATTCCAAAATTCTCTTAATTCAAGATTGTGACTTTCATCTTAGACACTGTCAACTCTCTCACCCACCAACCTGACCCACAAACTGACCATCACTGTGACAGCAGAATTCTCTTTTTTTAAAAATTGTTATTATATATATATGCTTTCTTTTCTTTTTTGTTTTTTTGTTGTTGTTGTTTTGTTTTGTTTTCTTTGTCAGGGGGAGGTAATTATGTTTACTCATTTACTTATTTTAAGGGAGGTTGTGGGGACTGAACCTAGGACTTCATGCATGCTAAGCACACACTCTACCACTGAACTATACCCTCCCCACTACTGAATTCTCTCCTTAAAGTACAAATCTGATTCTCTCACACTCTTACTTGAAATCCTTCAATGACAAAGTCAGGCCTAGCCCTTAAGTATCTTCATCATCTCACCACTGCCCAGCCTTCCAGCTTTATTTCCCCATCAATTCCTAAGTGAACCCTAAAAAACCAGTATGCCCTTGGAGGGCCTGCATGGACTATTTTTTCACTCACAATCACAAAGTTTAACTCTGCACTCAAGGTTCCTGTCTTAAAACATACTTCCTCAACTGTTCTGATTAGCAAACTTTATCTCCCCTAAAACTCCAGCCCCACCCCCGCCAAATCTCTTCCTCTTGAATTCTTTCATTCTTCCCTCTACCTTACTTTCCAATCCAGCTCCAAAGCAAACACGGAGCTACTTCTGTGTTCATACCACATTCTTTTAAAAAGCCATCCTGTTGCCTCTATTATATGAATCTATTTATGTATGCATTCCCTTTTGGGTTATTTCAGCTCTTCTCTGGGGACTGAACCACGCATGTCTCTTTTGTCACCATTATCACATAGCTTGCCTCATAGGAGGTCCTCTAAAGGTGCTTGTGAAACAAATAATTAAGGAATCACTAATTGCATGAAATGTGATTTGTCCTAAATAGAGTAAAACAAAGACACAACCTGAACTAGTGTAATTAAGAAGTAAATAGGTCATGATCTCCTTATATGTTGTTGCCACGGTCTTGCTCTATCTGCATGCGGCTGGGAACACATTCTAAATCACATGTACAAGAATATCATCCCTTAGTTGGCAGACAGGGTAGCCGTTTCCATGACATTACTGCTTCTTTGCATGCTTGCTCTTTAATATTTGAGGCTGTGTAAGCTTTTAATGAAATAAGATGTTCATAAAAACTGAAATAAAATAATGAATATAACTAAAAATGTATGCTCATGCTAAATCATAAACATTTGATATTACTGTTTTTATACCAAAACCCACATATGTTTGTACATTTTAAAACCATCATTACTTTCTCCCAATGTGCAAACACTTGCTAAAATTCCCTTTAAGACTTCTAAAATGCTGGAGAGGAAAAAAAAAGACAATGAGGGCTTAGCCCTAACAGTGAGAACACGAAGGAAAGAAACTCCTTTCACACCTTCTGTGATATTTTCACTGAATATATATTTTTAAAGTAGATCAAGGAGAAAACATCTCACCAATTGGCCTTCCCCGATGTGAATGTGTGTCCTCTGCTTGGCTTCACACAGCTGCCTCAGATGCAAAATCACAAGTTCATTTTCCTCCTGGTCATTGATTGGCTTCATTTTCTGTTGAACAGATAAACCAAGAACACATCATGGCAAGACAGCTTCTACTGCTTTATTTTATTTGCAGTTTTATCTGTCTGGTAGACACACATAAATAAAGCTAGGCATTTAGCTGGTCTTGGAAGCACAAGTTACAGTGGCATTCAAGTTCCTATCAAATAGTACAACAGGATACATATCTTTAACTGCAGAGAGAGAAATGAAAAAGGAAACTCACAAAAACAGGAGCCACTTCTCACTCCTTAGATCTTGTTTGTGAGGACTACAAACAATGTTACCTGAACTCGTTCAAAGATGTCAGCTTGCTCATTATCTGTCAGTGATGACAGATGCCTCTGTATCACCAGCTTGGCTCTTGGCGGGTAGAGACCTAGGGGAGATGATGGGGAGTGGCATTAAACAGATTCAGCCCTGGAGATCAAGATGTATATATAGAGTGCACTGTGGCTTGTCCCTTCACCAGCAGGCTCCGAAGTTAAGTCTTCTCAAGGAGACGTTTTCCTGCCTACAACAAACCTTGAAACACTGCAAGGAAATGATTAAAACAAAATGGAAAACCTCCTCACCAAAATCAGTTGCCCTGGTCAGTGGTCCTGAGGTCAGACTTAACAAAAACTGTCTAGATCTTAAAAAAAAAAAATCTAAAAAATTAAAACTTGATATATAAAAAAGAATAACTAATAATATTAAAAAGCATGAATATATGTATGTTACTATATGACTGAAGTATTGTGCTGTACACCAGAAATTGACACATTGTAAACTGACTATATTTCAATAACAATATTTTTTAAATAATAATAATAATAATTTTTAAAAAGCAGAGCTAGAGGTTAGACAGGAAGCTCTCCCCCTTCTGCAGGCCTTGGTAATAAAATTTCAAGCACAGCATGAGTATTTAGGGACATTTTTTAGTCCTATTATTTTACCAAGAAATTGTTTACCTCTTTGTATCATATTATTTATATATCTACTGCACTTCTACACATAATTTATAGTTAAGTCCTTGGGCAAATATTTTTTTCCAAGAAAACATTTTTGTTTTTATAAAATTTTTAAAAAGGGGAAATGTAATTCATATTTACAATAATTCACCTGACCATCCATTTTTCAGGAACAGATCTCCTTTACACAGTTAAGTGCCACTTGTAGTATTGCTACTGTAAGTGGATTAGAAAGAGGATATCTGGCTACATATAGTATTTAATGAATCTTATCGGTAGATCACTTTAAAATCCCTAGGAGAGATTCACCACAAAATATGTATTGTTTTAAAAGAACTCAAATTCATTTCTTGGTGGTTAGAGCATACACAGTGCCATCATGGGACCTGTTTTAAACCACTGTGCAGTAGACAATGGGAATTAGAAAGAAGAAAATCTTCTAAAAATTTCTCAGCTTTTCCTTTCTTTGTGCAATGTACAACAAAATGTTGTGAAAAATCTGTGATCATGTACAGGAATAGTGAGTGCTAAAATTCATTTTGATGGTGTGACGCCACTCAGCACCACAGCTTATTATTCACTGGCAAAGTCTCCTTCAGGGGCTCTTTAGGCAATACATTAGGAAACTGATTCATGTAATTGTTTTTGTTTTATGTTGTTTACTATTCCAGTATGTTACTGGCACGTGAAGGAGGATAAAAGATTAAAAAGGAGAGAAGTAATTTTATAATGAAAAATTCCTGAGACCACCTTGACCAGGTGACAAGCCAACAAGATGAGTAATAAAATCCTTATCGACACCACCAGCCCCATGAGGTGCACTGAAGCAGCACCATTTCTATGGAGCTTCTGCCTGGGAGGAGTGATGTCAGTCCAAATATGAGAAGACATCAGACAGGCCAAACTGCGGGACATTCAGCAAAATAACCAAGCAATTACTCATTGGGGACATCAAGGTCATGAAGGACAAGGAAAGACAGAGGAAGAGCTGCAGACTTCAGGGGCCAGATGACAACTACATACAACGGAGGATCCCGACTGGGGTCCTGGAACAAAAAAAGTATATGGGCGAAAAAAACTGATGAAGATCAAAAGAAGTATTTCGTTTGGATAATAATACTGTACCAACGCTAATTTCTGTTCTGATCATTGTACTGGGCTGTCTGAGATATTGACAGTGGAGGAGGGTTGGGGAAGGATATTTGGAAACCCCTTGCAACTTTTTTATAAGTCTTTAGACCAAATGAAAAAAGTTTTTTTAAGAGAACTACAAGGTATTATTTTATATATTTTTCCAGATACAGCATCAAAGAATATGTGTTATTCAGCAAGTTATTTTTCAATCAATAACCTAATTTTAAGGTGTATCCATGTTGATTTACAGTTGAAATTCATTCCTATTCATTCCAATATATGAGCATACTCCAATTATGCTACGGATACATATTTAGGTTGTTTCCAACTTTCCATTATTTACAAATAATACAACCTTGAAAATGTCACCTTCTGAACCTATATGAGTTCCTCTTGTCAAAACATGGAACTTCCGGTTAACAATGTACGTGCAATTTTAAGTTAATGAGTTACTATTCATTGTCCCCCAGATGGTTATACCAATTTATACTCCCATCAGTGTCACATAAATGTATCAGTACCCCTACAATTTCTCCAAGAATTAATCTGATGAGTATCTTGATGTTGTTTTTATCTTCATGTCTCTGACATCTGGTGAGATTGAGTATCATCTCATTTTTATTATTTGATCTTTTAACTTTTTTTTCCAGAGGAGTGTTTTTAAATATGATTTATATTAAAATATATAACTTTCTACTGTTGGTTTTATCTTTTTCTTATAACAGTCCTGACAAATTCTAAACGGCAATCTGCTATCTCCTTTGCTGCTTATCACTTAACTTCCAAGTAAGCAGTTGTTGTTACGTAAAAATATTACTAAGTTTGTATGAAGTCAAATATGTCGGTGCTTTCTTTTGATAGTTTCTGCCTTTTTGTGTCCTAATAAAGGCTTTCTCGTTTAAGGACAAAATAACATTTTTATTTTCTTTTAATGATTTTAGTATTTTGTTTGTTCACACTGAAGACTTTGCTCCATCTATAAGTAGAAGGAATCTCTGTCTCTTTGGATAGCAAACTGACGCAATGCCATTTCCTGAGTCATTCAGCCTTTCCTCTACAGATTTTATATATATAAATCCTTTACTGTTCACCAAAGGATGTTCTATTTTTGTAAAGGTTTTATATATATATGTTTGAAAATAATGTGCATTCTGTAAAATGGTGATTATAAATTTTAAAATTTGAAAGTTACATTTAAACAGTCCTTGATCACACAGTTGAGTGGATATTCAACAAACACTGCTGTTCATCATCAATTTTCCCATGTGACTATGATGTGCCTGCCAATTGAACAACTTGGATTTGCAATGACTGGTCCATTTTCTGCTTTGTTCTGGAGTCTGCACCCTCCCCATCAACCAGAACACCTATGGTACTGAACTGCATTTACGTGCTCACTAGCCTGTCTTCCCCTCTAGACTATGAGCTTCCTGAAGGCACAGACCTCATCTCAATCATCTCTGTTTCCGACGTGTCCAGCAGACCCAGCCCATGGGAGACACTTAACAAATGCTTATTAAATTGTCTTCTCTGGCACTTTAAACCCTTTTCAACCTTTTTGGTTAATAAGAGACAAGGAGAAGAAAGAGAAAGTGAGTCAGTCACTGTCCCCTCATGCCCCTCCCCCTCCTCAAAACATATTTTCATAAAAACTTGCTTTATGATACCAGGCCTATGATCTGTGTGATTTTCAAATGTCCCTCAAAAGCAATGAAGTTTCATTTCTGTTGTAAATTTTAAGGGGGGAGAAAAGAAAAAGAACATATCCTCAAGTGAGAAGGTAATAAAAAGAAAGACTTAAATAAACAGTCAACGCTCTGGGATGGTTTTGCCTCTCTTCATTCACTCGACAAATATTTGGCCAGTTCCCACTGTGCACACAGCAGAGTCTGAAGAACTGTGGGAAATGTAAGTTCCTCCCTTGAGTCTGCCTTCAGAAAAAAAAAGTAAAAAACAAAAATAAAAAAGAGAGAAAGAGGGGGAAAAAGCCAAGCACCTTGGAGACACTGAGTACAAATTTGACTGGACATGAGAAATGATTTCGGGGGGCTCCTGTTTCACCTCGAAACAAAGAACCATTCAACGAGAGTAGCGACTTTCTCACTCAGCAAATGCCAAAGCAAACTCCTCTCTGCCAAGGCCAACTTATACTGTACCTTCGATCCTTTCACAGAGCTTATGCAAAGAGTGCATAGGGCAGGCCTCGCACAGCTTAATCTGGGTCTTGGCGTTCTGCAGGGCAGCGGCCGTACTGAAGGCCTGTTTCAGAGTCAGCATTACCTCATCAACCTGCAAGAAGAAACAGAATCCAGGTCTAGAGAAGTCTGCTTTCATAGTAACACACTAAAAACCCAACGGCAATGTGAGACTTTGTTGATGCTGACAAAATACTAAATAATATGTTGATGCCCACGGAGCTGGAAGAGAGAAAATATTATCTTGAAGTTAGATCTACAATTAGTTATACATAAAACTGAGAATTAGATGAAATAAGACTCTCTGAATATATGTAATGCAATAATACTGATCTGTTACTTGAAGGCTATTTTTGAATTGCACGGAGTGCTATGCTATCACAGGTAAGTGAGAATCAGGTCCTTGTTTAATTAAAGTAGTATATCAGACAGACATCTCTTAGGAAGCTTTGTCTGCAAAACACAGGGGGCAACAAAATAAGTTTAACATTCACTTGTGTTAACAGGTATCCTGTTTACTTTATCCTTTTGGACCCTTTTTAGTGCAAAAACAAGCGAACACTTGTTTAACCAAAGTTCTAGGGGGAAATGAGTTCAGCAAATGAAATTGGAAGAATTCTATGCATTGGTCTTTTCTCTATGGCTTCTGCTTATCATCAGTTTGCATCTGATTTGTGACACTAAGAAGTTCTGACATGGTGCTGGCTAATAGCTGGGTCTCACCTCTGGGCCAGCATCTGGAAAACGGCCAGCTAGTTTCTTTCCTGCCCTTCCAATGAACTTAGTCAAGAAGTTGGAATCGAGCATTCTGGCTTCCTGGTTGCTTCTTTGAGGTCAACTAACAGCTCATCCTCCAAGCATTGCTAAGTCGACTTCAGGCCAGGTCTCCTTCTCTGTGATACAATCATCTGTGTAAAGAGTGGTTTTCCCAACCACTTGTGGACCTGAGATAAAAGTCCAAGGCCTGCATGGGGAGTTGTGCAGTACCAGGGCTGCATCCAAACTAGATTTCCTATTTCAAATCATTTACCATGCTTTGTAAATGATGTTTTATTTTGTTTTGTTGTGTTTTTATTAAGGTAACATTGGTTTAAAACTTCATATAAGTGTCATGTGTACAACATTCGATTCAACTTCTGTGTACATTAGAATGTGCTCAACACCAAAGTCTCCTTTTCATCCGTCACCATACAATTGACCCCCTTTACCCATTTTGCTCTCCCTCCCATCCCCCTCCCCTCTGGTAACCACCAATCTGTTCTCTGAATCTATGTGTTTGTTTTTGTTTTTTTATACTCTGCATATGAGTGAAATCATATGGTATTTGTCTTCCCCGTCTGACTTATCTCACTTAGCATAATACCCTCAAGGTCCATCCACGTTGTCACAAATGGCAAGATTTTATCTTTTTGTGGCTGAATAATATTCCAGTGTGTGTTTTTGTGGGTGTGTGTGTACGTACATACATCACATCTTTATCCATTCATCCGTCAACAGGCACTTATGCTGTTACTATATCTTGACTATTGTAAATAATGCTGCAGTGAACACTGGGAGTGCATTTATCTTTTCAAATTAGTATTTTTATTTTCTTTGGATTAAAAGGGGGGTTGCTGGATCATATGGGAGTTCTTTATTCTTAATTTTTTGAGGAATCTGCCTACTGTTTTCCATGGTGGCTGCACCAATTTACATTTCCATCAACATACATGGCCAACAGGCTCGTGAAAAGATGTTCAACATCACTAATAAGTAGGGAAATGTATATCAAAACTGTATCACCTCACACCTGTCTTACCAAAAAGACAAGAAATAACAAGTGTTGGAGAGGGTGTGGAGAAAAAAGAACCCTCGTACACATAAACCATGTTTTCAAAGACTCTTTCCCCTTCCCCTTTGGTCAGATTTAAGAAAAAAGATATTATTTAAAGGATTTTATCTACTTCTGCATTTGTGCCAATGAGAAGCCTGGAATAAAAAGAAACTTTATTCCACTGATATTACTAAAAGGAGAGCTCAAACACGAAGCAGCCAGTCACTACTCAGTCATGTTTTACTAAAATATTACCAACTGTTTAAAAGGCTTTTGAATAATTTCACATCACTCTATGAACAAAAAATAAATTATTCATAAAATAGTCTGTTCTTTCATAATAATTAAAAAATAAAGATTTCGAATTCATGGAAATGAAAGCGCTCCCTGTTTTAATGCCTTTGCATTTGCTTTTCATTTGCCTGTGATGTATTCAGAAGCAATTTCAATTACTTGTACAGATGTTTATTTCTGTTTTCTTGTTTCTCATTTACTGAAGGCACTGAAGGGGTTAGTCATCTGCTTCGCATCCATGTAGGCTTATTATTTGTTATTTAGTAATACCGTGCCATAAAAGGCCTCCAATGGAAATACTGAATTTTCATGTTTTCTCATCTACTTCCAGGTGAAACAGAGGCCATTTCAACGATGGCTGAAATGTGGTTACCAATTTCTCCCAGTGATAAATATTACTAAACACTTCATTTGCCTTCTAAAATGTTAAATGTTGTATTCTTTTAATCTATCATCTTTTTCTCCAGATGGCCTATACATTCTATGGTGGGATCAGAGCAACTAAAAGTTAAATTAGTGTACTATGAATAACTTAATTTTTTTAGTCTAGATAAAACAACAACAAAAAAATCCTAAGCAGTGTAACAGGTTAAAAGTAAAGGAATGGGCAAACATAACTCAATAATGTGGAAACAAAAAGAAAGTATTCTTAGCATGACCATCAGGCAAAATTAAATTTCCAGAGAGAAATACAAGATGGAACAAAGAAAGCTGATTTATGATGTTAAAGTGAAAATCCACCATGAAGATAATGCTCATGATCATTGATACACCAAACTTAGGTGGTTTTATAGCATTTTAGAATAAGAATCAATCAGAATAAGAATCTGAATGTGTAAGGACTTCAAAAGATTATCTAGTCTAATTCTCTGGGAAAATCTACCCTTGTTAAACCCATATAAATCCTAAGTCTTATTACCTAGATTTTTGGAGGGGTTTTTTGTTTCATTTTTTTGGTAATACTTTCCCTGGATACTACTGTCTGTATCTGAGGATCTGTGGAGTTCTATATTTTCTTTGTCGATGAACATTAGTCACTTCCATTTTTTCCCACGCCTTTTAAACCAATTGTGGAGAAAGCAGAAATGGTACATTCCAGAAATCTCAAGGGTGGGTTAAACAGGGTTAAGCACCTGCCTCAGGCTGTTTTACAAAAGAAGGAAGGAAGAAGGACTGAGCATCCAAACTTCCAGTATCACCTTCCTGGGCTTATCTGAACTCTGCACTGTTCATCAATCCATAGCAATTGCTACAGAGAAGCAACAGAAAATGCTAGTTGTGTATTCTTTGTACTCAGAGAAGATAAGTCAGCAGGTGCGGTTTTGCAATATTTTGTCTTTCACAACTGCCAAGCCACATCAATCGTACCACTGCTTAGACCTATAACATTTGACTGTTCGTTTTATTCCATATGTCAGCTGCTTGAAACATCCTCCTTTAGACAGGAAATTGACATTTAATTTTTCCTCTGGCTTGCAGTTCTGATGTCTCACTAATCTGTTGAGATGCTTACTGATGAATTAGCATAAACAGGATTTCAGAGAGTCTAGCACAGGCCCCGTTCTGAAGAATAATGGTGCAAAACTGATTCTGATACAGCTTCCATGTACTATGAAGACATCCTCAGCCAGTCTGCTCTGCTGCCTTAGTCACAGAGCTTCTGAAGCTGGAAAAATGCAGCATGTTCCCACAGTCTCTACTCTGACTCCTTGCTTCAAAACCTCATTCTACATGCATGAGGGTAAAATGAAAATACTGAAAACTACAAACAGAACAAAACTTGTAAAAGAGTTTGGAAATAAGAAGGTTTTACAGTTTTCCTTTTGGTGTAGGTTATCCAGTAATCAGAGATTAACCAGCACCTAGAAAATGATTGCCTGAAGCTAAGAGTAATGCACTCCATCCCTCAGAATACACTAAGCAGGCACCTGCTATCCTAAAAAGGACTGGGGGGTATGACTACAATAAGAATGGTCCTAACCTTGTAGGATTCACAACCCAGTGGAGTAGAAAGTTATATGAACAGATAAATAAGAGAAACGATTTGCAGGAACTGTTTAGAGACCTGTGGACAAGGTGGAGCAAGAGAACTGACAAGAAAGCTGCTAAAGGAGTCAATTCCGGGGGAGAGAAGCAAGATGGTGGAATAGAAGGACTCTTGTAGCTCACCCTCTCCCACAAATGCACCAAAACTCACATCTACAGACCCACTCAGTCAACCAGAGCAGCTGGCAAACTCTGAAAGAACATCACCCTCTTCAAAAGACAAAGACACCAAAAATCTGGTAGAAGAAAAGGAAAACAGAAAGGAGAAAAAACAAAACAGTGTGGGACCGGTCCCGCGGGGAGGGAGCGGCAAAGGAGGACTGACGCTCGTTTGCTGGGTCTCCCCCTCTCCAACCAAGAGGCCAGCGGGACAGAGGGGGAGCCTCTGAGGCTCAGATCTGCCCCGAGCACCCTTTGACTGACAGAACTAGATTAAATGGGCACAAAGGGTCACTGCAACAACCAAGCCAAGACGTGAGCCGGCAGCTGGGGCCGGGACAGGCTGCCCAAGCCAGGTGGAGGACTGGGGTGGCTGCACTGAGGCAGCCCCGGGGGACTGCAGGAGGCTGCGTGCTGTGGCTGGGAGGGGATACGGAGCAGAACCACCTCGGTCCCCCATATATTACAAAAAAAGCAAAGCAACACGGCTCATGTGCCCTGGGGGGAGGGGTGCCATAGCCTTTAACTCCTCAGACCCATGGCACCATTACTGGAGCTTCTTGTGAGAAGAGAGGCGGGGCTCAGCCACAGCAGCCATCTCCTCCTGTGTGCAGCACCCAGGCGGGAGCGGGGACGAGACCTGAATCCGCACCCAGGGGCTCTGCAACCTCCTAGGCAGGACTGACACTTGTTTACAGCCCGATGCAGATAGTATCTTTCTGCCCTGGCACTTCAGAGAACTCACGCTTCCAGGACAAGCAAGGAGCTAAGATTTGGCACAGAGCAGGGGCGGGGCTGTTCCATGGTCGTCCCCGAGCCTGCCTACAGAGCTCTGACCCGAGGCGGAGAGGGCAGCTGCACAGAACAGCCAAGCGACCGGCGCCAGGAGAGGGCTGGCAGCCACCCGCCTTCCTGGCAGGAATGCAGCACCTGACCACAGTGCTTGGAGGGGGCGCGATCCACCCACCTGCCTCACCGGAGTGTAGCATCTGACTGCAGCACTGGGAGGAGGAGTGACCCGCCTGCCCACCCATCACAGTGCCAGAGAGATATAAGCAATATGAAGAAGCAGAGGAACCAATCCCAGTTAAAAGATCAAGAGAAATACCCTGAAAGCACAGTCAAGGAAATAGACATTGATGGCCTACTAGATCAAGATTTCAAAAAAGGAGTCATCAAAATACTGAAGAAACTAAAAGAAATACTGTTTAGAGATATAAAATATGTCAAAAATGAAATAGAAGCTATAAAGAAGAGCCAGGTAGAATTAGTAAACTCATTTGCTGAGATGAGAGCTGACCTAAAGGCTAGGCAAAGCAGACTAGATA